TGAGGCACCCAGTTTTGAGGATGAGCAGCAACAGGGTTCTCAGCCTCCCCAATGTGTAGAAAATCATTGCTGGCCTGCCATGCCCCTATTGTGTATTCTGATGTGACAAATCCTTTAATAACATACATTTATACTCTCAGGGTTATTCCTATAGAGAACTCTAATAAACTTGCTCACGGGGAAGACTTGTGAAATGTAGACAGAAGAAAACAAGGGGAAAACAGTGAGCATCTACATACAGCACAGACTCTGGGGCCAGACTTACCTCATTTTCCATTTCTTCAGTGCCATTTGCAGTTCTGAATTGGCTTAAGTTGCTCAACCTGCTCCTTGGCTCAGTTTCTTTATCTCTAGCCTAGGGCTAATGGATATCTCTCTGATACAGAGTTGTTATAAGGATTAAATAAAATATGAAAAGATTTAGAATAGGGACTGTGCATACCAAACACTCTATTCACTGACTTTCTTCTACTGCCAACTCCTGTTACTAGGAATCTTGCTGAACACTAAGCATTTATTAAACTATTTCCATCCAGTTCTGAGTAGTTTCTGTACTTTTTTAATACCCCAAAATATTAATTTTGATATTTTAAATTTGCATTATAGTGTAATATTAATCGTTAGTACAACTTTTGGGTGGAGTATTGAGGGCTTCACATATGCTAGGCAAATGCCTAACCACTGAGCTATAGTCAACTCATTAGTATAATTTTAAGGATTGGTAATGTTATTTCTTGATATGTTACTACTTATCCTGGTATAAAATGATGACCAAGTTAGGATTATGGATTTTTATCAGTAACATGAGAAAAGAGAATTTATACTCGTGTCTGAGTAGAACGTGCATGATACAGCTATGGAAGCCATATGTGGGTCTCATAGCTCTGTAACTGGAGTTACAGATGGTTGTGAGCTGTCATAATGAGTACCTGGAATTGAAACTGGGTCCTGGGAAGAGCAAGCAGTGCTTTTAACTGCTAATCTATTTCTCCAGACCCAGAAACATCTTTTTAAAGGGTAAAAATCTCTCCAAAATAGGTATCCTGAAATCCCACATTCCTAGCTGTATTTTCAGTTAGGGTTACAAGATTCACTCATATTTTCTTCCCTCACCAAGCACTATCTGTGCATCTCTGTACAGTGTAGGACACTAAATGCTGGGCATATAACAGACTAAGGCACTTTCCTGAAGTATTCTGAAGTTGAGGGACATGTTGCAGAGGGAACACTGGGAAAAAACTGACTTTTAAATTGATTATTTTCAAGGTACAATGGATGTGGGATAAAGTACTCTGGGCAGGAGTTGAAAATAAATCATAAGTGAAAATAGCTCTATTATGTATCTAAGTCTCGCACCATTATCTGTAAATAAATGTAAAATGCATGATGGGAAGGAGGCAGGATGGGAAGGAGGCAGCTGACCATGCTGCTTGATCCAGAACTGAAACTCAAGTTTGTAGGAAAAAGGGAACTGTGTAAGATTTTGTTTAATGAACTGTCTCAGGAAGGCAGAGACGAGTGAAACAAAAGACAGGAATAGAGCTAGATTGGAAGTGTGACAGTAAGAGGGCGGTACAAAGGTTAATTAATATCTGATGAAGCCGGGTATAATGGTGTATGCCTAGATCCTGGCATTTGAGAGACAGAATGATCATAAGTTTAAGGGCAGCCTAGGCCACAGAGGCCACCCAGGCACATATCCAGGAATAGGGAGACCCTACCTCAAACAAAAACAAAGAACAAGAACACAGGGGGAAAAAATAAGAGAAACAGACTATTTGAATGAAAGGTCAAATTCAAATGATTTGAAGATGTAAAAATAACCAACTGGATGTACAATATGATGGCAAAGAAAAACAGTAGACAATGATTTCTAGTTTTGGATGAGGCCAGATGACTTTAAGAGAGTCAAAACACAAACATAAAGTGAGTTAGGAAAGAGAAAAAAGGAATAGGCTGTCTAGACATGCTGTGTTAAGCCACTGAAATAGGCATGAGAAATTGGCAGTTGTAAATTTAGGTCTGGAGCTTGGGCTAAAGACAGAAGCTGAAACATTAGCTTTGTGACAGTGCAAAGTATGGGAAGTGAGATCATCTGGCTAGAGTCTAAAAACAAAAGGGGTCCAAGAATGAAACCCCTAGAAATAATTTATGGAATGGACAAAAAGCAGAGCATTAACAGAATGACAAAGAACAGTAGTAACGATGACGAGAAAGATAAGCAGAAGAACTCACAGGAATGGGTGACTAACTATGAGAAAAACAAGTAGAGGATCTTATGGGAAAGCGTGGCTAACTATGTCCACTGACAGGCACAGGAAGTGACTGGACTAGGACATACTAGTGATGAGCAACTGTGACCTTACCTAACAGTGACCTTAGGAAAAAGCAGTGTGAGGTTGGTGAGTGGGAAACAGTTAAAGCAGGGGTATCTAACTCTGCCAAGTCTGTTAGTCATAAACAACATCTATGAGAGTATAGCATCTTTACAATGGAAATTTGTGATTTCTGTACAGCAAGAAGTCTTGACTGGTAGTTTATGAAGAGCATTTGTTTATTTTATCTACTGGTCAAAACTTAATAATTAAAAAAAATAGGTTAAAAATTCCATCCATCCATCCATCCGTCCAATCTATATACATGAGTATAGTAACTATTTCACCCTAGATCTTAGACTAGAACACAAAGCCTTACGTAACCTTACTTTGAAGAGGGTAAGAATCACAGTTTGGCCTTTATCTGGGTTTACCATGAGCTGCTAACAAGCAGGCAGCATAGTCATGTGACACATAGTTATGCTGTGGCCAAACATGAGGTTCAGACGTGAATGGTCGCATCATAAACAGCTTCTACATGTTAATATCTGCATAGTAGAACTGCTTGAGATCACATTTCTCAGAATCCAAACCCAGCAAGTGATGCTGGTGAATTTAGCTGCTTGCTTCCTCTGCAAATCACAATTCAGTGGCCTTGGTGATTCTAGTGACTTAAGTGTCAGGAAAGCATAGTACTATGGCCCTGCCCTGTTTGCTTGAGAAGACTGGGATATGTCAGCACCGTAAGTAACTAATTTCAGATGTGATCTCTTGAGGATGAAACTCTGGTCACAGCTGCAGGGTACTCCTGCCTTCCCATTTATACTTACCCAGGGCCTTTTCAGGGGAGACCTGGCTGGCTCATAGCATAGAAAGCAAAACAAAGGGCAAAGCAAGACAAGTAGACTTTCCTTTACTGCTTTGGTTTATCATACTACTGCTATTCCTCTGCAGTTCAGGAACTTCTCTATAACTTTTCTAAAAAGCAAAGAAAAGAATTTTCTTTCCCCTTAACTCAACAGCCTCTTGTGCGTGTGGTGTACATGTGCATATGTGGTATAAGGGTATACATCTCTGCTCTAGCCATCTCTGCTTTACTCCTTTGAGGCAGATGTCTCCAGCAGGCCATCAAGTCCCTGCAACTCTCTAGTCTCTGCACCCACACCGGGGTTAGGTAAGTTTGGGATCATATCTAACTTTTAACCAGAACTCGTGGTTGTGCAGCAAATGCTTTTAACCAATGAACCACCTCTAGCTCCCCCAGCTAATTTGATTTCCTTTTCTGTGACTATTAGTATAAAGACACCTTATGTAAATAATGGTAGCAAGGGATCTTATCTTTAGGGAATCTTATCAGGGAATGTTCTAGTAAAATCTCAGGATTGATTGTATTCAAATCTTAAGAGTAGCCATTTTACGATGCATTGTTAGAGGTGGTTATTTCTATATAGCATACAGGGTAGAGCAACATGACAACTTAGGGCAGAAGTTCTCAACATGTGGATCTTGACCCCTCTGACAAACCTCCATCTCCAAAAATATTTAAATTGTGATTCAAAACAGTAGCAAAATTAGCTATGAAGTAGCAATGAAAATAATTTTACAGTTGTGGGTCACCACAACATGAGGAACTGTATTAAAGGGTTGCAGCATTAGGAAGGTTGAGAACCACTGTTCTAGGGACTATTTATAATATTCTATAGATTTGAGGTTTTAATTTAAAACTCACTCATGAGGTCCTAGGTTCAATCCCCACTACCACAAGATAAAGTTTCAGAATAAAAAAACAGCCATCAAATGTCACGGATACCTTAATCATGTTTTAGAACACTGAAAACAACACTACTTCAAAATTTGCTGCCTCAATTTCTTAATGTTCTGTGCATTTTAATGAGAGATCTAAGAAACCAGAAGATTATTTTCACAGTCCCTTAGGTGTTCCTGCCAATCTCTTGCTAGGGCAGCATCTCTCAACACAGCTAAATACTAGCCAAATAGCAACTGAAGCTGTCAATAAGGGACAATTACTTAGGTGCCTCTCAAGTCAGGTACTGATCATATTAACTCCAGGTGGGGAAAAGTGATGAAAAATCCTTTCCTGATATCTAAGTCATGGAACAAAAATCTCAATATGATCCTGCCTACACTAGATTACATATTTCATGTTGTAGTAATGTAGGTCAATGGGCTCAGTGTTTTATTTCAATGTAAATAACAAGGCTATGGTTCAGAAATAGTCTGTTTTGAGAAAATATGGCCAACTGCTTGCTACCTAGAAAACTAAGCATTCTTTATAGTTTATCATGAAGCATATCTTTTCTATTTTTCATAGAATTGAACATCTATAACCAATATGTAAATAAAGTCAATTTTAGTACTTTGCTTTTAATTATTCAATCAATGATATAAATATAAATATCGTATTGGTTTCTATGGTCTCTTGACTTTAATGTATAGCTATTTACACATCTACTTTCAGTTATTTCTGGCAGTTATTTCTGGTTGCTGGTGATGAGGCCCTAAACCACCTGATACTGACAGAAGTAGAAAGTAGCATTAGGTTTTTTCCTTTGTTCTTGGGTTTTGCTAGTCTAAAAATGACTTTATTTTGATTAGAAATTTGAATATGACAATGAGAATTTCTGAGCATATCTAAAACTAAAATAATTACCAATAACAAAGACAAAGGCTTATATTTCATTTACTAATATTAGCAACTGAGACCCCTCATAATTCCACAAGGGGTAACTACAGGTGAAGTACCCAACCAATGGTTATCTTTTTTTAGAAACACAATGCTCTAAGGAATATTGTATTACTTCCACTCCAAAAGGGGAGATAATTTTAGAGTTGTCTCAGGTGCTGCAATATATCTACTGATACTCCCAGCTGTTTCACTAAAGTGGCTGTCTGTTCCAGAATCCAAGTGAGGCTTGGTTTTTCCAAATGTTCGTGCTCTTGTGTTCTGCAACATTCTGAATGAGAACAATCTATCCCGTTATGACTCTTGTCAGAGTTTTTGTTTAACTCAGCACTATTTTCACAGAGTCTTTCATCTTTAGCTTCCATCTTTTTCTCGGCTGGAACTACATGACAAAGGTCCATATCCTCAATGGAGTCCAATAAATCTGTAACTTGGGGCTGTGGAGCAACTGATTTCAGTCGTTTGAGCACAAACTCTTCACACTGGCCAACTGCGTCCAGAAGGTTATTGATTTTACTGATCAAAGTTGAACTATTTCCATGAAGGTGACACCAGGAGAGCAAAGCACTGAATGAAAATACAAACAAGAGTTAAATAGGAAAAAAATTAATAGTCACAGGCATTTAGAATGATAGGCCTTACAATACCAGGCAGAAACATATTAGTGATAATAATGCATATTGAAATCAGGAAAATAATGTAAATAACACTAAAGAACAAAGCATCTTTTAATGCAAGTTACAAGAAAACTTCATCATGTAAACTTTTTATAAATCATATCTCCTCCTTCATAGCTCTGTATCATATACTCCCCTCCCTCCCTCACCCCAACAGGTTTTCTCTGTACAGCTTTGGAGCTTGTCCTGGCATTCACCACTCACTCTGTAGATCAGGCTGGTCTTGAACTGACAGATCCACCTGCCTCTTGAGTGCTGGGATTAAAGGCCTGCACCATCACCTGGCCCATTTTTTTTATTTTATGTTTTCTCTGATCAAGTAACTTCTATGCAGTAAGATATATAATTTACATAAAGACCAGAAAAACCAGTCCCTTCTTTTCATTCCTTTTAAAATAGAAAACCTAGGCTTGTTAAACAATTAGAAGGACAAAACATTAAAGGAGGAGTACTTTAAAGACTTCATCCTGGGTTACTCATTGTCACAGTGTAGTTAATTAAATCTCCAGTCAATGTTTTTCTTTCTTGGCAGTATTCAATATTTAACTGAGACATCAGGCATGTGAGGCAGCCCCAGTTTTCCCTTAAAGGACATCAAACAACTTCTCCACTAATCATTCTTAATCTTTGTCACAAATTAGAATCACTAACAGAGCTTTAATTTTCTCCAAAAGTGTTAAGAATATTACTCCAAATATACTTAATTATATTTGTTACTTCTCTAGTAGATCATTCTTCCTCCCCGACTGTTTACAGTATATAATAGTGGTTCTTTTTTTTTTTTTTTTTTTGGGTGAGGACTGAGCCCAGGGCTGTGTGCACACTGATCACACACTCTACTTCTGAGCTACTCCCCTCCCTGAAAAATACTTTAGAAGTGAAATTGATTGATGTGAAAGACTGACCCATAAGCTTTCTAAGCTCATAAACATGAAGTGAACATGACCACTTGGTCACTTTCCTATTGTAGGAAATTATATAGTCAATGTTCTAAAGAGCTCAACATAATTTAAAACAAAACATTGTTTTTTCTTTTTTAAAATTTGTGATTCTTTGCAGCAGTTTGTTTTCTCTATGAAGAACAATTTAAGCATTATCCACATCAAAGAGGCCCACTCCACTCTTAGTCACCATGTGTCATCTGACTGTTTGAATCCTCTTTGACTGCTATGACATCCTGACCGGGATTCAAAGTTCAGGACTGAAACACACAGGGCCTCTTTCCATTAGTAGTTACAGCTTTTCCAATGGACTTCTAGCCCACAGCCCTGCCTTAGTGTGGTCTACTACATGTGGGAATATAAAGAGCTCATTAGTGCTAGTCCAAATGGCAGAAAATGGACACCTTCCTACCATTTCCTCGCAAAAAAAGAAAAGCATCTCACACACACATATTAAAATGGGTGAACTGACAATGATTTTTTTTTAAAGTAGTATTTTGTGCCCTGAAGATTCATGTATCCAACATTAGGACAAGCACTTTAAGACATTTTATTCTTACATAAAAAAGTCCATTAGAGTTGTGGTTAAGATGATTCATTACTTAAAATTTTTAAGTTACCTCAGCGTTCCCCTGAGTAGTCCATAGTTTATAATGACTTCTGCACCTTCTTTATAGCCTTGATTGAAGCCCTGTTGAAGAGTAACTGCTTTGCCTGCATCTATTCCATCTCTGTACCCTTCCTAAAAGTAAGAAACTAGCTGTAAGTGACACCAAGTAAATCTTTTCTAGAAAAGCAAAGAATCCATTTTGAAAACAGAGTTAGCAGGTTTTTATTAGGTTAAATGAATATGATATGGCAGAGATTAAATCCAAAGCAGAATGTTTCTCCTAAAACCCTCTTATTGGTCTGTTCTTTCTTATCACATGTTTTATTTTCTTAAACCTTATTTCCAGCCTGTCCTGGAACTCATAATCCCACTGCCTCATCCTCCTAAGTGATGGCAAGCATGTTCCTCGATGCCACCTCCTGAACTCACTTTGGAAATCTAGAGTTACTGCATAAACATTACACATCAGTTCTTATGTAATTTTTAATGACTTGTTTGAAAGGCCTTCACAGAAATGGAAACCTACATGTCTGGACTTGGTGATAGACAAGAACACGGTAGTTAATGAGGCTGGCAAGGCTGGGGAAGAGGAAACTATTTTAGGAACAGCTGAGAGGAAGTCTGATTTTAGAAATCTAATGTGAATGCAGCATAGAGATTTTGTCCTCTTATTATTGGCCTGGTCCCAAATTCCTAAGGCATTTTTATAAGGGGACAATGGTTGTTTGACTAAACAAATATTACTTTACTGGAACATTGAATTAGGGTAGATCACAACTGTAGCTTTAAAAGGGCAATTACATAGCTGATAAATATATTGGGTAGACACAGTTCTTTTTAAAATATTTTACTTTTTAAATATTTATGTACCATATATTTACTTATTATTCTTGGGGGGGGGGCGCGTTTCATGCCCCAGCTTGAATGTGAAGGTCAGAAGGTAACTTTCAGGAACCTATTCGGTCTCTCCACGATGTGGGTTCCAGGGGTGGAACTCAGATCCTTATACTCCGGAATCCACCTCTGTGTGGACACAGATCTTAATAGTTCCCACCGAAAATTCAGCTGATTCTACCCACATATTATTAAGCAAGTTTCAATGAATGGTGAGACGGATTCGGAATGAATAACACATTTAAAGTAAAAATGAGATAATATCCTCTTTTCTACCTTCCCGTCCTTTGACAACATTTTTAAATTCACCTTTTCCAAGTCCTAACTTTGGACTCTCCACCCACTGAATAACATCTGTGAATACGCGTTTTCTGTAGCCTTTAGTGTAGTCGGTGTGTGCTTCTCCCCCTCAGCTCCATCTCTCCCCAAACTGCAAACTCTTGAGGGACTTGATCAGTCCCCTGCTCCGAACCCAGGCGGGGCTCTCTAAGATCGCGCCTGTTTAAAGGTTACCAAGTAACCAACCTGGCAGTTCTAAGACTGGGGCGGCCTTGGGGGTCACCGCAGCCGAACCCCTCCGTCCAGGCTTCCGCCGGCGTGCCCCGCCCCCCGCCCCGCGTGGGAGTCCCATTGCCGCGCGTCCCGGCCCCCGGCCATTTACTTGGATTCGTCTCCGCATGTGTCCCTGCCATTCCCGCTGCACTAACAGAGTCTCGTCCGCTTCCTCATCAAACACGTCCTGATCCCCGGAGCTGGGGATCTCGGGAACCGCTCTAACCCAAGACATCTCCGAAGAAGCCACAGGTCCCAGACCACCGGAAGTGTTGGCAAGTGCTTCCGGACCGGGGGCGGGGCGAAATGGTGGGCGTGGGATAAACGAGCGAGTGTGTCTGCTCTTTTAGCCCTGCGAGTCGGGGCTGGGCGAGACTGAGGATCCACGGAGCTGGGTCCCAGGGCGGGGACGGGGTGGGTGCTGGGCACCAAGTCCCGCCGTTCAAGGGAGGAGGTTCAGTTCCTGCGAGTACAGCCGAGGACATTAGACTGTGGGAGCTGCAGTCAATTTGAGATGAATTAATATGAACACATTTTGCAAAACCAGCATCCATAGGCAGTGTCCCTCCCAGCCCTCTGCTCAGGCCGGCCCCGAGAGTTCAGGAATGTGGCCCAAGTTAGCAGCTTCTGGCCCTGAGTATGTGTAAAAGAACTGGACACCAGCGTTCCCAAAACGTCTCTTGTGTGAGAAAAATAAGTCATGTAATTGAATTTTTCTGAAAATTTTTCTGGAGTACCGATTTTGTACTAGACATCATTTTAGGCCTTTGAAGGACAGCGCTCCATAGCAGGCCCTGTGGAACAATAATGTATAAGTAACACAAAATTTGAAGATGTAAATGATAAGAAAAAGCATTACTATGGGAGAAGAGAAGATAGGTTACTATTTTTTTCCTGGGGATTGAACCCCAAGCCTTGTCAATGTGGAATGTGGGTTCAGTCAGTAAACTATTCTCTGCAGCCCAAAGTTACTATTTTGCATTTTCAGAGTTTTTATCTCATAAATATATTTATAAAACCAAATATAAAACCTGTTAAGATACACACACACACACACACACACACACACACACACACACACACACACATATATATTAATTAGAAACAAAATGGTATTAGGGGCAATAAAAATAGTGATTGAAAATAAAAAAACAAACTCTGCCTAAGAGTGGCCAGCAGGGGCTTGTTAACACAAGTTGAGGTGGCAATCACAGCCCACGTGATGGAAGGAGTAAAGCTTTGAAAGTCTCCCCCCCCCCACACACACACACACACACACACACACACACCCAAAAAAAAAAAAAAAACCGGGGGGGGGGGGGTGGGGGGGGGCCCCGGCGTGGGGTGCTTGCTGCTTTTCTGGAGAATGCTAGTTTAGGTCTTGAGCATTCACAGAGGGTGGGTGGCTCACAACCACCTGTAACTGCAGCTCCAGGAAGTCTAAAGCCCTCTTCTGGCCTCTAAGGGTACCTTGCACACACATGGCTTGCATGCATACAAACACATATACATGTTCATACATAAAAAATAAGTCTTAAAAATAAAAAGAAAACAGATAATCCTGTCTGTATCTTTTTTCATTAAAGAAGAGAAAAAAATATTTAAAGACAGGAATGAGGAGGTAGTCATTAATGCAGATGAAAAACACTATAAATAATTCAAACTCAGGAGCAACACATTTAGTGTTTTGAGACAAAGTCCCAGGAAACTTGAAATGTAATAGATGATAATATTTTTGAATTTTTGATTTTTCTGTCTCTAACTCCCGAGTGCTAGGTTTATAGATGTGTGTCACCAAGCCCAGTATTTTTCTTTTGGTTCTATGGATTGGATGCAAGGCCTCCAGCATACACTCTACCAACTGAGCTACATCTTCAGACCCCTAAATGAATATTTTTCCCTTAAAAGTTGAACTGTCTGATCTATTACCCATTCATTAAAATTATTGCCTTACAAGGATGAAGACATAAATAAGAGCCCAAGAACCCACATAAGGGGGGGAAAAAAGCCAAGTGTGGTAGTATATGTCTGCAGTAATTCCAGAGGTGGGGAGAACTGAAACCTGGGGCTTTCTGGCCAGCCAGAATAGTTGAGTTGTCAAGTAAAATCCAGATCAGCTCCCCCTGCCATCCTCACCCACACATTAGTGCGTCTTAATATTCATAAGAATGTATATGTGTGCACACCCCTTACACATATGTTATCTTACTATATTTTAAAACAGGTCTATTTCAACTTTTTCTTCTGTGGCCCTTCTGCTGGGTCCCTCTCACTGAGAAGATTTTATACAGTCATAAAAAAGGTATGAAAATAAAACATTATACTGATACATCATACAATAATTTATTTTAAAATAATTCCTTGGTATTACATGTAGTTTTATCATTTCTTAATGATGTAAGCAAGTCTGCATACTAACATATTTGACATTATTACTTATTGTTTTTATAAATGATTAAACAGCTATATTACTTGATAGTGCAAGACATATAACATCTTCAGTTTTTTTTTTTAAGTTTACTGATGTTTTAATTTAACTGTCCTTAATGTTGTGAATGCCACTTCAAACAAAATGGCAGAAGTATGACTAGAGCTATTTCCAAAGTAGTTGGAAATTTTGCCCTAATCCCAAACCAAAATCTACTTAATTTTCATGACATGCACCCCTGGCTCAAACAGCTATTTTAAAACCAAACATTCTAATACAATGCAGTCTGAAGATATATTGATTGATACTTACACACCAAGAAATGGTGGTAGGGAATATTAAAGGTTGTTTTATTTCTGTAAAAGCAGGAAACAGTATTTACAGTAAAAACACGTCAGTATCTAGAATGCAATAGTCCTGATTCTGGTCCTAGGTGTTGAAGCAGTATTTAGTGGAACGGTGTAGCGTGATGGCATGTGCAGCACACAGTGTGCTTGCCCTGTGTGCAGATCAAGGCTGCAGTGAAGCTGAACAAGACAGCATGAGCAGATTCTGCCAGAAACACCTTTGACTACTTTTGGTTCTGAATTTTTGATTGCTATGTGTTCAGAGACCTTTCACTGTTGCCAAAGTTTTCATGACTCTCACATTCAATTATATGACCTCCTAATTCAAGAAGGTAGATGTGTGTGTGTGTGTGTGTGTGTGTGTGTGTGTGTGAATGCATATGCATCTGTGCAGCATATCTGTATGCAATGTGTGTGCAGGTATATGTGTACATCTGTGTGCAAGTGTGTGGATATTGGGGGTTATTATCTGATGTCTTCCTTAGTCATTCTCCACCTTATCTTTTAAGACTCAGTTTCTCACTGAACTAGGCAATCATGAATGGGGTAGACTGGCTGGCCATTGAAAACCAGGGCTCTGTCCCACTGCCACAGAGAGCTACTGCACCTGTCTTTTTATGTGGTTGCTATGGAGGTGAACTCATGTCCTCAAGCTTGTGCAGCAGGCACTTTACCAACTGACCCATCTCTCCAGTTCCTGTAGTATTTTTAAAGCCCCCTGTGTATTCTGGGTGTACGACTTAAATCAGATGCATATAAGCAGTTGTATTCTTTGCACTAATTATACCCATTGAGAGGCAGAGTTAGGAACATAATGCATGTGAAAGAGACCAAGGATAGGAAGTATATGCAGGCAAGTAAACTTTCAGACAGTCATGCTGATCAACTTCTGTGACAGGGAAGGGAGGCCCAACCAGAGTCCTGGGCTGCTGTGTGTATTTCATGATGTCTTAGCTAATGTATGAAAGCTCTGAAACAAAGAACAAAGGGAACCATACATTTGGGACACATGAACATGCCATGCTCCCTTGTCAGCTTAGTTATGCCTGGGGAATGTCCTGGAACTGTGTGGCCTTGGCTAGGAAACCACAGCATATCCCATAAATACTCATGCCTTCAGCAGCCAGATGATCTTTCAATGTCCTTTCATGTGTATTATTCTATTTTTCCAAAATTGCATCCCCACTCTTTAAAAGAAGAAAAAACCTCATAAATAACTATGACACCCTTGCATAAATTTTGATGTCATGATGTGAACTTACCCTGGAGGATTTAAGAACTGTATCTTGTAACTCAGTATGTCTCATATAAACATACTCTAATGGGGTCAGCCTTTAGGATTCACCACATTTTTCTCCTCAGTCTCCTGCTTGTCATTCATCTTTGTCTTTACTTTCAAAAACTCCAACAATTCTTCTTTATGTCTTTCTATTTCTCATCTCCTGCTGACTTCCATTTTTTATCTCGGTTTTCCACACTTTATTTGTGCCTCTTGCAAGGTGCTCTTTGGCAGTTGACATAATACACTCCAAGAGGGCATACACCTTTCTTAGAGTCTCCCCAGTTTCTGGCATGGGCACTTAATCATTCAGCCTTGGTAACTAGGCACCAGAAGATTTCTTTAAACCAAGGAAATTTGGTTTCCTGCTTGTTTCTCCTGAAATTTTGTAAATACTGTCTTTAATGTTTAGCAATAGATTTCTGTGTGCCACACTGAATTGCTTCTATCAAGGTAGCACTAAGATTATGTAATATGTATTAGGAAAATTGATATAAGTGGCAAGAATAGGTAGGAGAACATTAGAAATACAATGACTGTAGAGAGGGCTTATTGGTAAGGCTACTGTGGGGATTCTAGGCAGTTGCCTCCTTTATTTAATTATGTCTCTGGAAAACTCAAGTCAACCCTACTATCAAAGCAAGGAGGAAAAGTACTTTAAAATCCAGTACAAAGCACTTGTTGACTAAAAAAAAGATGAAGGAGGAATGCCAGATAGGAAGTTTAATTTATCTTTCCAATGGCCTATTGATGGGCAGTATATAGAAGCATGCTCAGGTTAGTCTCACGTTTCAAAGATCCTAGATTACCTCCAGGCTCTTTTGTAGCTATTTTTCTACATTTTTTTTTCTTTTCCTTTACAACCATGCCTCATGAAAGAGTCCCTGCTGCCATGCTTACTTTTTAAGTCATTGGAGTTTGGCTTCCAACCTCTTTATACTGTTGAAATAAATGGGGTGCTGGAGGTGGAGACTATGGCATGAAAAATAAACGACCCAGAGACAGATATTGGAGTTCAAGCTTCAGGCTGAAAGGGCTGATCCAACAAGCCTCAGCCTGCTGCCTCTCCTCAGTGTGGCTGGAGAGAATCCTGAGATTGAGCCTACTGAAGACTCTGCTCCTATCTTTTATACCTCTCTAGTTCTGGGATTAAAGGTGAATGGTACCAAATGCTGATATCATCTTTGTGTGAATTGTTTCTTTTTGCACTGGGTCAATATCATGTAGTCAGTGTGGCCTT